ACTAACACCTTTCACATCTTGTATTATTATTTCGTGTAATATACCTTCGTTATTTCTACTCTTGTGTTCGTGTTGTTCTTCCTTGGTCCTAACCTGGACCATAACAACTATAAAATGTGCTGATAGTCATTTTGCTATAAAAATGTATTGTTGGTCATTTTATTATAAAATTTATTGTTGGTCATTCTACTATAAAGTGTATTGCTGGCCATTTTGATATAGAATCTATTGTTTGTCATATTGCTTTAAAATGTATTGTTGGTAATTTTTATATAAAAATATATTATTCGTAATTTTACGATAAAAATGTATTTTTATACTTTCCTAGTGTTTTGATTTGTTTTGGGGTACACTTTTTTACGGTACACTATTTGGGGTTAGCTATTTGGGGTACACTATTTGCCCATAGGTGTAGTTTATCGTGATGCTCGGGCCTAGAAATAGCGATCGAGCAGCGATAAACTGGGAAAATAAGTCTTCTCCAACAAAACTCTGTAAACGATTTTGAAATCTATCATGTCTGAAAAGTGACGATTGAGCAGCTCCAGTCCAAATATGGTAACAATAATCCATTTTTTGTCTAATCTGATTTTTGAATCATTATCCATTACATCACCCGCACATCCAAACACCTGGTATTCCCAAGTGGTCATCCATTTAGGCACTGACCAGGCTCGACGTTGCTTAATTTCGGTGATCATACAGGAACGTAATATGGCCGTAAGCCATGAATGGAAAATTAGGAGATAAAAATTATTAGGATAAGTATTTGAAAATGACATTTGACTCTTGACCTAAAGATGTCGAGATTGAAATGTCCAGAGACGTATATACGGAGAAGCTATTGCTACATCGTATCAGATTTGGAGGGGGGTGGAGAGCGAAGGTGTAAAAGTACGAAGTAACAGAACTATCAAATGAAACACACCTGAACAATTGCCATGGAAATAGCGGTAGAGCAGCGATAGGCTTGCAATATTGTGTCTGTGGGAAAGAGGTTGCAGAGGGGAAGATAAGTTATGCCCTACAAAACTCCATAAATGATTTTGAAATCTATCATGTCTGAAAAGTGAAGATTAAATAGTTTCAGTTCAAATATGGCAGCAATATTTCATTTTTGATCTTATTTGATTCTTGTAAAGAGAGAACTTAGTACAAAGAACCATATGCTTCCTGCAGCAATATAAGCTGACCATTTTCCCAGTAGAACTATATATAAGATTTGGACACCACAATGACATACGGAAGAGGAATGCTAGAGAGAAAGGAGATGCGCCAATTGTCATGAGAACCACCCTGCGTTCTCTAGAGACTGTGAAGTTTATAGGAAAGAAAAGGAGGTGGTGTAAATTAAACACAAAAGAAATCTGTTCTTCCCAGAGGCTAGGAGGATTGTCGACTCGTATATGGGAGCGCAGTCGTATGCCTATGTAACACAAAAAACAAATATCAACGAACAAAAACTCAAGAAAACAAATACCTTGAAGTGATAGACAAATTACTGCATTTGACTACAAATGAGTGGCCAAATTTTCAAGAACACCTTAGAAAGACTTATGGAGCTCAAGAGGAATCACAGGAGCCGGAAACGGACGGTGAAACGAAAGATGAAAACATACCGCGTTCTCCTGCGAAGATTACCACTAAACCAAAACACCAAAAATCTCTCATCCGTCTACCAACATGCGAGGTGAACAATGGAAAAAGTGTGACAAAGACCTCCCAAAGAGGAATACATCCGCAAGGAAAACATTGGGCCAGTCAAAAGACCCAGCGGTTCATGTGGAGCTTAAAAACAGGCATAATCTATTGAAAAAAAATGGAGGTTGAGAAGCCTTTATCCACAAGGGTAAAAACTAAGAAATCTCAAGAAAAAACACACAGACCCCAAAAATTAAAATTATATGGACAATAAAATCATCCAACGGAATATCAAAGGAGCAAGAGTCAATCACTCTGAATTATTACTTCTTCTAACAAAATACTGCCCAGTGCGAACAAAATATTACCAAATGAATAATTTAAAAAAAACTTTTACGAAAATAAAACCATCCAAGATTGTAAATTTCCTAGAAGTTGGATCATACTCAAAAATATGAGTAATTGAAAAATGGTTCAAATATTTATGTATACATACACACCTTTTTTTTACCAAACTATTGCTATGAAACTATTTAATTTTGTTGGCATTAAATGACCCACTAAATATGCCATAAAACAAAACAACCAACCAATTTACGTATGTGTATGAATATATATATATGTTTTTTGCCTGTGTGTATGCACATACACATATCTTTATGTGTATATGTATGTTCTTAGCGTATGTGCGTGCATAGATATAAGTCCTTTGAATATGTGTCTGCATACATATACCGGGTGTAACAGCAAAATTGTCTAAATCGTGTAAAATCAAAATTGCCTATTTGCTAGATTAAGCGTTAAAACGTTGTATCTCAGAAATGATTAAAGATATCTTACTGGAATTCTCCGAGGGTTTTATAACACTATTGGACTCTACTTTGAGCAATAAGGATGTATAGTTATTCTCCAAGCTTAACAGAAGAATCGTGATGAAATCGATCATAAACGAAAATGACATGTCCACCATTAATTAATCATGAATGATTGAAATTAAGTTCAAATATATATATATATATATATATATATATATATATATATATATATATATATATATTATTCCAGTATCATTGTGCAATTTATTCAAGATGATCTTCGCCCTCTATAACTGTTCTTTGGACTGTCATAAGTGAAACTCCTCTCTCACGTGCCAAACGTCTTATGGACTGAGTTTGATCTTTTTTCTAATTGATCTCTTTAGCCCCAATCGAAATGATGATCCTTCCTGTTGTGACCACCTGATCCAGTTTTCCTTTCTACTGATCCCTCTTTTTTCACCGTTCTCTTGGTGGTTCTTGAATGGGCCTTGAAGATGGAAACCAGCGTATGAATGTTGGTACCATTACTGAAGGCATGAATGATATTTTTCCTTATTTGGGGAGACAATGGGGCTGACACCAATTGATTTTAACCTGTTGTTTTTCTAGCTGAATAACTCAAAGGGTTTTTCAGTGATTTTTACGACAAATTGTGTCAAGATGACTAATCTGAAAACCTGGAAAAAAGAAACTCAATTAGTTTAGTGATTTTTTTTTTTTTTTTTTTTGGGGGGGGAGATATTAAACATTCTGTGGGATGGACAATTTTACTATTCCACACGGTATGTCCTCTGCGTATGTTACGCATTCATACAAATTCTTTATATGTCTGCGTATATGTATATTCTTTACCTATGGTGATTTTCTAATCGTAGCTTAGATGTGTCACAAAGCTGGACCTATGGTGTACCCAGTGAGGATCGAACTCACTACTCAGTCGTAATTGATTTAGCGAGACAATCTTGCAGACTATAAACCACGTCATAGTTCCCCTACTTTTTACCTATGTGTTTGCATACAGATATTTCTTGCGTATGTGTATGCTTAAATATATGCATTTTGCATATGTGTATGCATATATGAATATTCTTTATGTGATGCGTATGTGTATAACCTTTTCGTATTTGTATGCATACACATGTTTTTGCTTATGTGTATGTATACGTATATCCCCTGCGTGTATGTAGGCACGCACGTTCTTCATGTGTATGCATATATGTATATTCTTTAAGTTTGTGTATGCATTTATATAATTTCATTTTGTATGTGCATGCATGCATATACTTTATATATATATATATATATATATATATATATATATATATATTCTTTACATATGTGTATGTTTTGTGATGCCAACGAATTATCACTTTTGTAATGCTCGTTGTAGTAGAGACTTTGTAATCGCAGATACAACTATAATACGCCGTTGAACAATACTGGTGTCAGACGCCTTCGAATAACACTCACACAAATAATACTTGCTCGAACAGTAATCCGTATAGTGATCCGAATAGAGAAATAGAGTAGAAAATAGCGGTCCGTATAATAATAGTGGATAGAGTAGAAATGGTGATCCGTATAGTAATAGAGGATAGACTCGGAATAGCAATCACTTAGACGTCACGCGACTGCCTACTTATGAGTTTACTCTATGGTCACGTGGTCTACTTAATTCAATAATGGGATCGCCTGTGTTTGCTCACGGGCTATCTATGTTCAAACTCAAGTGTCAGCAGCGACACTTTATTACTATATAACAGTATGCATTCAGATATGTCCTTTCCATATGTGTATGCATACATGCATAGTCTTTAGGCGTCCGCGTATATGTATATTCTTTAGGTATGTATATGTATACATACATGATCTTTGCGTATGTATATGCAGGCATGCATATTCTTTATGTCTGTCCGTTTAAGCATATTCTTTGCGTATGTATATGCATACATGTATTTTTGCATATGTATGCATACATATTAATTATGTGTATGCGCTTAAGTATATTATTTGCATATGTGTATGCATTCATATATGTTCTTTGCCATTTGTATGCATACATATTCTTTATGTGTATGCATATATTCTTTACGTATGTGTATATATACATATATGTCATTTGCGTATGTGCGTGCATTCATGCATATGCGTAAGCGTATATGTATTTTCGTTGCATATATATATAATTTATTATTTAATTTCTTGTAATGTACTTGTAATCTCTGATGATGGCTTATGTAAGCCGAAAGCTTAGACAGGATTAACAATAAAAACATGTATCAACATGGTGATTTTCTTTCATGTTTCAGTGATAATGCTAAAAAGCTTATTCGACAATATGAAAGGAATTTACTTAAAATAAATAAACAAAACTTGTCTATATTATTTAATGAAACATGCATTAATATATACACACACACACGTATGCATATATATATATATATATATATATATATATATATATATATATATATATATATATGCGTATATGTTCTTCATTTGTTTATCGCCATTCCTCTCGTGCTCTTAATTTCTACTCAGCCGACTCGAAATCGACGTCTGTCCGAAAATCTAGTTTCTCTCTTTTTCTCCTTCTCGGCAAATATCTTGTCGCACACATCAAGCGACCGACAACTGCCCTACAACTAATCGTGTTGATCGTAACAAGATTATGCATTTCATTAGGTCAGCAAGCATGTTACTTAAATCCCGCTTTTCGATAATCCTATAGGTTCAATCACTCAAGACCAATTCAATAGTACTAAGTTTAATTGTCACTCCCGAGCCAAGTGTCCGGTCTCGCGTGAATTCGCGTTCCATACGCTTTGCTGAAAATGGCGGGAACTCTTTCTTGCTGTCTTCGAAAAATTTTCCAGGGCTTTTGGCACATTGGCATCGGAATTTAATCAATACAACTCTGGAACCTTCTGAAAACGCTGGTTTACTTAGGTCCGTTCTGACTTCTCCAAATATAGAAAGGAGCGGAAAGGTTAGATTAACGGTGGAATATGTAGAATCTGAAGTTGTCGGTTTTTGTTGTGCTGCTTGTGTAGTGACTTGCATTTGGACATGATGTATAAAGTGTTGGCTAAAAATGTGTGTGTAGGAATAGAAAGAAGAGAGAAAAGAACAAGCAAACAAACGATAAAAAAAAATGAAAGAAAAGTTACATATGTAAAACGGGAAAAAAAGTAAAATAACAAATAAAGAGAAAAACAAACAAATAAACAAAGCAAAAGAGTAAAAAATAGAAAAGAAAAGAGAAAAAACAGAAAGAACACTGAAAAAGCGAAAGAAAGACAATTGGAGAAAGAAGTAGAGGTTACGGGATCGAGTGTGTTGTTAATGTAAATTACACTGTGTTACATATATTAGTAGTTGACAGGATTTCTTTTTTATACTGAAAATGAAAATGAATAGAAGATACAACTTACAACTCACGTGTTGAAATTAATAAGAATGAGTATTTTTGCGATGTTACTGTTTTTCTATGTGTTAAATGTTGTCAGGGTTATTGTCTTTTTTCTTTTTAAAATGTTGTCTTATTTGCTTATAATCGTTCCGAAAATTTCATGTTTGAGGGAGGCTTTTGAAAATCAACTGCTGGATTTTCACGGAGCGAAGAAAATACATCCTTTTCAGTTTGTGTCGATCTCACTACTCTCTCTCTCTCTCTCTCTCTCTCTCTCTCTCTCTCTCTCTCTCTCACTATCTCTCTCTCACTACTCTCTCTCTCTCTCTCTGTGTGTGTGTGTGTGTGGTGGAACGGTCGCGCCCCTTGTTCCAGACTGTCACTGGCGACAGTGGAAAAGCTATTTTCAAAATGATGAAATTTTAGATTTTTATTTTTATTATACTTTGTAATGAAATATTATCATCATCATCATGAATCATAACATAGACATTAAAAGCAAGATAAATGAAAAAAAGGCTTTTCTTATTGTCTTGTAGGGTCACTCACATCATAACAGAAGTGATAGCCTCGTGTTCACAGAAATAAAAACATACAAAGAAATGACACTAAAAGCATGTTAAATTGTAAATTAAAATCATATAATTCTATTTATTTTTGTATACTAGTGTGTATGTATTTTAGTATAAGTGCTTTAAGTTGCATGTAATAGAGGAAGAAAGTTACTTTGTCTAGACGTCTTGAAGCGGAAAGAGTGAGTTGAACGTTTTTAGAAGCTAAAAATCCGTTTTTCAGGTAGGAGAACTTTTATTATTTTCGTTTTATTTATTTTGTTTTAAACAAACTTTTAATGTTATTTGTTTTATCTTATTTTTATTTATGATATTTATTATTATTTTATATTTTTATTTATTAATAATAATATCCCCACAGTCTCATGAAAATAAAAAAAAACAGGAGATCGAAAATATAAATGGGGAAACATTAGAATTGAGTTTCAAGGTCAATTTACTAATTTGACCATGAAAATCCAGACTCAATTAGGAAGCGGAAAGAAAACAACAAATCTTGATCTCTGTTTGGTAGAATTTCCAAGTACTCTACTAAACTGCATTGCCATTAGCTAGACTGTGTGTATGACAAAATAAAGAAGGATTACCCTGCTTTGGTCAATCGAGGTCAGCTTTCATCGAAACTATACGAGACCGAACACTGCCAGGTTGACTAAGAAGTTCAAATAGATGGACGGTGTTGATACTCTTCCACATCCACCATTCAGTCCTGGTGATGCTCCAAGTGACTATGGCCTATTCCGCTCAATGGCACACTTCCTCCGCGGCCAGCGATTCAACACTTTTGATAAAGTGAAGAAAACTTATTTACAGTTTTTTTTTTATTCAAAACCAGCGGACTGGTATCTGGGAAAGATTCAGATGCTGGCTGATCGCTGGCAAAAGATCATGGAGAATGCTGTTTGTTTTCTTTCCGCTTCTTAAATGGCCAACCTAATATTATTATTTAAAAGCGGTCATATTGGAAAATCAGTCTCTTTAAATTGTCTTCTGTCCTTATTAAAATTACCAGACCGTATTTCACACTCAATGACTTTGATATTTAGAGCAAGGCAAAATCTACATTATACATTGCATAGGATTAGATAGGTTTGCCTATCGTCTGGTTCACAGTCCTCCCCGGTCTTTTTGTGAGGAGTAGAGGTTTATCCCTTGTTCTCTGTTTAGGGTTGGGTTTCTGGATCCTTCTAAAGTCTTTTCCTTCTCTTTCACTCTGCGTCTTAGTAGCATTATCGACTTGCTTGGGGTGAATTGATTAAAAAAATGAGCTGATTCTCTTGTGCTACTATGAACACCCACATAGAAGGGGGAAATGTAGTTTTATCTCACTCTCAATTGTTTCTGTTTGATGGGCCAACAGATAATTCGTTTGAAGTTCGGTCCTCTAAGCGGCATCCATTTTGACCGTAGAGTAACGCATAAAGAGGTGGATGAGGAATTTTTGCAGATCAACAAAATCGGTAATCGGTTATATCCGGGCGTTGGTCTATAGTAACGGTCATGCTTGGGACCGGGGAGAGTGCTGGCTCGCCATTGGCGGGAGACGGACGTGACCGTGTCGCGGTTTAGAGCCCTTCATTTTCGTATTGCCTGCCACGACAACACGTCGGGATGACTAGATGGGCGATGTGTTGGTAGGGAGAAGAGCTGACATAGCAGAGGTTGTCCTCTGTATCACCTACCTACATCTCTACCGACCGGACAAGCAGGCGATGTCCTGAATAAAACATCTATATGGTAAAAAGGATTCGCGTACTTATTTCTCGGCGTGACGTTTTATTTCATTGTTACCTCGTGGGTATGCAGAGCGCACTTCGCCAGCTTTCGGTGAACACCGACAAGATCGAGGAATGAATTGCCAGTCAATGGAAGGCTCTGGTGAGGGTCGCGTTGTATGTTTACAGTCTGTCCATCACACACTGTTTTTAATGGACATTGTTTTATATTCTCAGTAAATATATGGTCACAAAACTGCTGCTCTTGACAGGAGGCGCGGGGTGGTTTTCTCATAAAAGGATCTCTTCCTTCTAGAAATATATTATGCGATATAAAAAATGTATTTGGCTCACATTAACTCTCTCTTCTGATTTACTTTTAATCGTTATACAAGGCCTTTATGCACACACACACACACACATATATATATATATATATATATATATATATATATATATATATATATATATATATATAAAAAAGAATTGAGAATGTTGCTATGTTAATAGGGGTAATGTAAGCAGATGGAAGCCGCTTGGCAGAGATTGATCTTGAACTCTATCGCATATACACATTAAGTTGAAACGTTCTCGCTCACTTTGTTGCTTATAACAGTGCTTGGAAGGAAAGTGTGTAGAGTGTGGTTGTCAGATATTCCATCAGTGACCATGGATTGTGCAGCAGTTTTTGGTCAAGACCAACATTACCCATGTCTGACAACCACCATATTTCCGAGACATCTCTCCTTGCGACATTTTCCTCTTCAAAAATCAAATTCCCACTGGAAGGGAACAAGATTTCAAGACGAAGAAGAAATTCAAGAGAATGCGACAAAGGCAGCTACTCGCTATCCCAAAAAAGGAGTTCCAGGAATGGTTCGATCAATGGAAACGACGCTGGATAAAGTGTGTGGCTTAAGAAGCGGACTACTTCTTCGAAGGAGATTAGATGCCGAATTGAAATGTGTTGTAGTTTTCTTTTTATAGCACCAGTCCCGATACCTCGTAAATGTATATATAATGGGAAATGACCTTACCAAAAAGTAAACCTCATCATACACGATTTACTGCAAGGTAAATATACTTCCTGCCAAGGTTGTTCATGTTCACTTCGTACGAAAGCCTCTTAAGAAAACAATTCCGAACCATTATCCATTACACCAAACGCACATCCAAGTTTACAGCATCTGATATTCCCAAGTTGTCACCTATCTAGGTACTGACCAGGCTCGAAGTTGCTTAACTTCTATGATCGTACGGGAGCACCAGTGCGCTTAAAGTGTGTTTATGTAGCATATCTCTACAATGCTCATATAGTCTTTTTCTTAGATTTCTGGGTGATTCGCCAATATATAGAATTGGCCATTTTGTACAATTCATTTTGTATATTCCTGCTTCTGTCCTGTTGTTGCTATCTTGTTTGGTTCTAACTATATTTCAGCACGTTTAGTGTGTTGTTATACAGCATATCTATCTATATGAGCATTGGAGATATACTGCATGGAAAAACTTTAAACGCGCTGGTTGTTCACCGTAGTACATCTCATCACAATTTCGACTATATATATATATATATATATATATATATATATATATATATATATATATATATACTAGCAGCATGGCCCGGCGTTACCCGTGCTTGATTCAAAAATCGTACGACTTATACAGCAATCGCTATCACTTGACTTAAAAATTTTGCCCTTCCTTACCTTTAAAGGAGTGCCCTTTGCCGTGCTGATGTTGCTACATGCCTTACTTCTTGCCTATCTCACACTGCGAATTTTTTCTAAGCTCTATATTAAACATTAAATCTGTTACGAAAAAAGAACTAAACAAAATGAACACAAAACGATCAGCTTTAAAAAAGGACTCGTAACTGGAAAAACCGAATGAAAAAAGAATGTTGACAACAAATACTTTTTCACGCCCTACCCAGTTCTGCGGAATCAGAATCAACGTTGAGTTTAAGCAAGCGAATGAGCCAATTGGAGTAAAGTGCCATGCAGATTTAAATTTTTCCCACCTGTGACGAATGCAGCTATCGATTTTTTTTTTTTTTTTGCATGCTAGTTAACATTTGTGTCAGTCAGCTGCTGGCTCTCTCGCTGGCCAATAGAATCTTACTGCATGTTCGTGGCAGCCAGCTAATGGCTCTCACTCTTGATTGTTGGCTCTTTCCAGGACTTTAGTGTTGGTAATTCCATTTGATGTTCAAGATTGAACGAAGTTTTTGCTGTTGAAAACGTTCTAATTTTTGGATATCGCGACGATATAGAGTCCAGGTATCGCAACTATATAGCCAAGTTGAAATAACAATAGTATTTATAACAAACAACTATATAAGAAAGAAATATACAGGTGTGGTTGGTGCATAAAATGTCCGTACCTGAAATGTACAATTGTATGACTGTTATGGTTCATATATTTCATCATTCTAGAAATAAAGATCTGAAATTTCATTATTCTAAAAAACAACCTTTCCACCAGCGAAGAGTCATGATGATGATATTTCATTATTCTAGAAATAAAGATCTGAAATTTCATCATTATAAAAAACAAGCTTTCTACCAGCAATGAGTCATGATGACGATATTTCATCATTCTAGAAATAAAGATCTGAAATTTCATTATTCTAAAAAACAACCTTTCCACCAGCGAAGAGTCATGATGATGATATTTCATTATTCTAGAAATAAAGATCGGAAACTTCATCATTATAAAAACGACCCTTCCACCACAAGAAAAGGTAGCAGTAGTAAAAAGAACAATAGAGGCATGACATATGTTCTTCGCTCCTTGAAAATCCAGAGTTGACAGTTTCAAAGGCTTCCCTTAACCACGAAATTCTTGCAACAATTATAAACAAATAAGTCCAAATTTTAAAGAAACAGACAATAACCCTGAGAACATTTAAAACACAATACCAATATTGTAAATAACATCTTGAAAAGAAAAATACTTTCTTGTCATTAATTTCAACACGTATCTCAAAGTCATATTGTTACATGTTATTGTTGAACGTTTTATTCATTACATTTTCATTATACAAAAGAGAAAAGAAATCCTCTATCAACTATTAATACATGTAACACGGGGTAACTTACATTAATAACTCAACATTCGACCCCGTTACATGAGTATATTTTTTCAGGGTGATGAAACGTGACCTGGTTGTGAGAACAGCATTTTTGGGAGACGTTAATTAACACGGCGTCTTTCTACAGGAACGAACCGATGAAAAAGAGGCCAAGAGGGAAAAAAGAGAAAGAAAATGACTCGCTGCTCCTTACGCTCCCGCGAGTGGCTTTCATTGGTTACGCGGTAGCCTATGTAATGTCTACTTTGGGCCACGGAAATAAACGTAACACGGAGATTTTAATTTCCGCTAAAATCCACACACCTATGAGGAGATCATCATAAGGTCCAATTACTCTATGGATCTTTCTGCGGACATCTTCGTTTGTCACATGTTCAGTGTATCAGATGTCTAAGATCATACTGCAGTATTTCATCATCTTTGCTAGAATTCTTCTTTGAAGTTCTGCTGTGAGTGTCCACATTTCACAGGCATAGAGGAAACTGCTACAAATTCTATATCAGTGTGTACTATACACGAGACATTTTTTCCAGGATTTCGTAGCCCATATTTAAAGGTACACGAATAATTCCGGTGTTTTTGCATACCTTTGCTTATACAGTCCGTATGAAAGTTATACAAATCAAATAAACCTCAATAACTCGGTTTTGCTTTGAATTATTTTTGTCAAATTTTCAACGATTAATTTAGACAAAACAAACTATGAGTTAAATTTGTAGGTAGTTTCAACATGTTTTATTAAAGTTATTGAATTTATTATAAAAACATGCAGTCGGAGTTATTATGCAAAACCAGAAAATCACTTTTTATTTCAATAACAAGTTAATAAAATCATCAACAAATGATCACCATCTATAATAGGACAAATTCTTGAAGTTGTTGAAGCATTTACATCTTAATATAGCGGCCCTTATTCTTAATAACTACCTAAAATGTAGTTCAAACTTTGTTTTGACGTATAAAATTTGACAAACATAGTTTGTGGGTCAGTCTGCTCGGATTTTAGGTGAAAAAATAAAATCCGATTGTCATGTCCACAAATACAACACAAAATTATGAACAACGCGAAGAAACTAAGGAAGAAGACCAAGCTAAATATGACAGTAACATTTATACAGTCAGATACATGTATTTATACAGTCAGATACATGTATTTATACAGCCAGATACATGTATTTGCATATTAAAAATCAATGTTCTTTGTTGGGGCCATGAAGAGATCAATAGTTCGAGTGTTAGAAATGATTTGTCGGAAGTGATTCTGCAAAGTTTCGAAGTGTTTTCTTACAAGTGAGGAAATCAAGTGATATGGTACACCAATATGTGTATGTATCAAGCACACGCTAATGAAACATGTGTGTGACTGCTGACAGATTGAGTGCGGTAGCAGTAATTTTAAAATACAGTGAACAAGACTTTCGTCATGGCGTTGTACGTATAAAACTCATCGCTGAGTGCTGCGTTGTCATGGTACGTATGTCTATGTTGTTGATCGAGGCCTGGTCTAGTTCGATGGCTGTATTTCGCTAGCTGTCCTTCACTAACTCCGTCGTTGCAGATCTGGTCGCTAATTGTTGCTGACGATCCGTTTTTTATCACTTTGGGTCGGGTCCGAATTGCTATCTGAGTTTTACGCGGGAACGTACACTGTAATCCGAGCCCTGACCTATTTCCAGGTGATTAGAAGTTTAACCGCCCGGTCGTAGAAAGCACATCACGTGATTTGTTCTATCCAATAAGATTCTAGAAACCACTTATTTAATTTGGAGCCGCGTATGTATAGAATTGTAAAAACGTTTTTCGTATCTACTGGATTTAGTAAGATTTATTTGTAGGCATCTCTTACTTGTTTGTGCTTCACTTATTGGCCGTAAAGTATAGGATTTTATATCCTATAACACCCCTGCAGATTGACAAATATTGAAAATATTTTCAATATTTAATATATGTTTTAAAGTGAGTTGGCCAATTTACTTTTCTACCCGATTTTGTAGTGACTTTGGGGGCGGGAATTACCGGTGTGGAGAATGGTTCGCACAGGTATTCGATGGGGGTATAGTGTCCCGTCGTATTTTTATAGTGTTTTTTTTGTAGGTAAATCCAAGTACGCTGGTTTTGTTTCCGTTCAAAATGGGATAGGATTTTCTTGCAATTGTAAAGAAGTGTCCTCTTTTACTCTGTTTAATGTGGCATCTTTTTTATTATTCCTCTGCGATGAGGTCGAAGGTAAGGGTTTCAGAATCTAGAGACTGTATTGTGGAGCGCGAGAATGTATCTGCCACGATATTGTCTGAGCCTTTAATGCAATGGATATCCGAAGTAAATTGAGATATATAATCCAGTCGTCGGGTATCTCTGGGTGTATATTTGTCTGTATTCACGTACAAAGCATAAATGAGAGGATTGTGATCCGTGAAAACTGTAAAATCTCGCCCTTCGAGCAGATGCCGAAAGTGCCTTATAGATAAGTAAATTGTGAGAAGGTACTGTATTTTTCTTTTTAGTTTTATAGAGAAAAAGGAAATTGGTTTTTCTGGGTCAATCTGCTTCTGATCCAATTGAAGTTGCCGGTCGTCAATGTGAGTATTGAGTTATCATCATCATTAATATACGAGAGTTTAATGAAATTTGCTAGTGCTTTTTTAGTATCATGGAATGTAGTTAATGCTTTTTCTTCTACAGTTATTTTTGCATTTTTATTTTTTGTTTTGTTTCTGCAGCATGTTTGTGAGCGGGGTCAAGACTTTGGAATAATCTACGGTAATAGTTAATCAAACCGATGTATCTTCGTAGTTGTCGCTGTGATGTTGGTAGTGGATATTGTTGTATTGCTGCTACTTTCTCTGGAACAGGCGTGACCCCGTGTTCGTCGATCACATGGTCCAAGAAGTTCAATTTAGAAACAGCGAACTCACATTTGTTTACGTTGATCTTTAAAACAAAATTAGTCTCTCGAAAATCTGTTGTATATGGTCTTGGTGTTCGTTGCTATCATGACTAGCAATAAGAACGTCGTTGATATACGCAAAAACGAAAGGTAATCCTCTCAAAACTTCGTCAATAAGTCTCTGAAAATTTTGGGCGGCCTTACGTAACGCAAATGGCATCCTCGTGAACTCATAAAGCCCAAAAGGAATGGTAATTGTCGTTTTCTTCATGTCTTCC